ATATATATATATACACACACACACGTGTGTATCTCCTTATCTGTGTGGCTGGACAGACAGTGAGCAGGAGCGAGAAGAGCACACACATGGTCACAGATACGTGTGTGGTTTTTGAATGTGTCCCCACACATGCCTGTCTGTATGTTCATGTATGTGTGTGTATGTGTGTGTGTATGTATATGTGTGTGTGTTAACAGATACACGTTGAACATAATATACAATACTAAACCCAGGCTTTATAGCAATGCCCTCTGTGTCTCCATATGTGTACAGATACATGTATTGAATCATACACCTATTTGATGACTTAAAATGCATTAATAGTGGCAGTTACAGTTTTTCTCTATCAATCATCATCATCTGTATTAGATACAAACTCTGTATCTAAAGGGTGTAGTATGTATTTATTACCTATGTGGGCTATACAAAACATTAAATTAATGGAGATGAAAATTAATGCATTATTTTGAGTATTAGACTAAAAAAATACTCATTATGCAGCATTTTAATGAATGTATCTGTGTGCATGATCACATCCCATGATTATAAAGTGTGTATCTCTGTACCTATGTAAATGATGTAATATAACCTACACTCTATCAGTTTGTTATATAGCATGATATAGAAGTACAATATCTTATTAAAATAGTAAATAGCATTAAATATACCACAATTATCAATCTGTTCTCTCATCCAAGTGCACGGTTGTGATAATGCTGGATGATGAGCCTCCATCGAGGCTGCTGGGAGCAGCAGGGTTGGGTTGGGGGGACATTGCACCCCATCACCTGAGGTCCATCGCCCCGACAGGACACAGCAGGGGCTGGAGGCCACAGGCAGCCCCAGAGCAGCTTTCTGGGGGAGAAAGGTTAAAATACCCCCTCCCGAAGCCCCGCGGGAAGCGCTGACAGAGCAGAGCACACACTGACAGACCAAAGCACACGGTGAGAGAAGAAAAAGTTCAAAGTTTATTAAACATTACGAATAACAGACAAAAAAAAATAAAAATAAAGAAGATTTGGGCTGAGCAGCACAGGCTGCATCCACCTCATGTCACACAGCTCAGCTGAGCTCGCTGTTAAACCTGTATTGGAACAGACGCTGTCTTGTGGTGTTGCCAGAAATACGATGGTTGATCACTTGTAAGTTTTAATACATTTTGTTTTTCTCTTCACATATAAAAAGAAGTCGACAAAATAAAACTAAACTGCACATCTCTAGTGTGTTACATGCAGAAACAGCTGCAAAGCACTAACGGGGGTATTACAAACCCACAGAGGCAAGAGAGTCAAACGTCGGGGTCCTTGTGCCCCGCTGAACTCACCCCTTGTGCACTTACAGAGCACAACCAAGTGCGGGGCCTCTGGCACTGGCCTTTCACTGGGAATTTCTTGCTTTTGTGGATTCGTTATTCCCATGGTGCGAGGGTCAGTGCCTTGAGAACCATTTGAAAATGAAAAGGAGTAATTTCCACCCCCCAGCCTCGTCTGCCATGGGCTTTCCCAAAGAGAGCCCCAAGGTGCTCACAAATACATCCCAAATGCCGTTGGTTTTTAGAGGGCGTTCTTTTGTAAAAAGAAAAGAATCACTTCTAAGTTTCAGCAGAAAAACAACAAAAAAAAGAAGCATTTTATCAATGCTCATTTATGGTTTAATACAAGTCAGTGAATTACTCAGACAAGCTATTAATTACTCTGCAAATATATATATTTCTATTTTTATAAAATTACATTTTCATATACCTACAAGCTCCTTCATGAGCAACAAAGCCACAGAGGTGTGATGAGCCCAGCTGAGCTGTCCTCGGGAACTGGAAATGAGCTGAACTGGCCTGGATTTAGTTTTTACTGGTTACAGAAGCTGATTGTTTCGCAGGTTTTAGCCCACGTGTTTTGCCTGGGTTTTTCCTCCCTTGTTTTAAGGGTGAGCTTTTTGGAGACACCAGGGCAGCCCATCCTGCTCCCCCTCAGCCCATTTCCAGCCCCCAGCCACACACTTGCCCTCCCACCCACCCGCACAGCGGGATGGGGCCGGGAGGCATGGGAGCAGCTTTGGGACCGCTGGACGAGGTAGCTGCTGGAAACCTCTGTGCTCCTCTGTGGCCGTGACTTAATAAACCTGTGCTCTCCAGCCTACAAAAGCTACCGTCACCTCCCACCCCTTCCCTGCCCAAAGGAAACAAAAGAATCGCCTGTAATTGTTTTTCCAAGCTGCCTTTTACATGTTTAAGAAAGTTCTGTGGTCACACCACAGCCCACCGACGGCTCGGGCTCCGTAGGGCTCATCTCTCACGCACCATCGGCTGGTGTAGCGTCACCCCAACAACAATCACTGTGAGGACAAGTCTAAGCTGTTGCAATCATCTGCTGTGTTGCTGCTAAAAGTGCATCCGCAGCAGCAGCCGCCGAGCCCCGCCACGGTCACGCTGCTTCTAAGAAGAGAAATGAAGTTTATTTCATAGAGGCTGTAGCAGAGACACCGAGTTGCGCCCACAGCGCCAGTCTTGTCTTGTTTCTCTACCCCTGCATCCAGTGGCTTATACTGACCTTTAGAAAATAACTTACTGCACTTTAAACTTTGCTGCAGCACGTGGAAATTCAATTATTTGCTGAATAAATGGTCCACAGGCAAGTCCTGCACGTTAAGGGCTGCTGACAACTCGGGTATGTTTGAGGAAAAATACTGCAAAGATGCCATTCCTGCCAGGGTATTTTTAATGCTGAACAAAACGGTGAGTCCTTTGTATCAACCTCCTGAAGCGTGAATAATGATTTAATGGAATGAACAACCTTTTTATTTGAAAATAAGGTCAAAACACTTCGGGAACTGGGAGCAAGACATGTAGCACCATATTTTCCTCACCTGTTAATAACCAGATGCAGCACGTACAACTGTATACCCCAACAGAGCTATCTGTCTGTAAAGAACATTTCAGCTGGAAACAGATTCTAGCAGCAGCAGCAGATGAGAAATGACTCAGATTTTTGTGTCTTATATATTATTTTTCTGCCTTTACAAAATGTTGTCCTGCCCGATCAACAGTTGACTAAACCCCATGTTGTGCTTTGTCCCTATTAAACCGTTTCTTTATGTGTTTTGGATGGGAAATAATAAAGTCTCTCTTTTTCAGCAATATGGAACATCCTGGAAAGCCATATTACTGCCATCAAAATTTAATGGAAAGCACAGAACATGCCGGTGTGCCAGTGGTAGGCTTAAAATATTAAAAGAGTTAAGAAAAGAAAACCAACCAACAAACCCCAAAGCATTTCCTTTCTGTACAATATGGAGAATATATATCTTTGCTATATATTTTTAAACATGGAATAGCTTTTTCTTTCTTTTTGCTATATATATGTCTTTCAAAATACATTGTCAGTATTTGTACTTGAAAAATACTGTACAAAACGAACATACTATAATTATTCTGTATAAACTTTATACATTTTATAATATCTATCCTTTTGGTCTATAGTAAACACTTTGATTGATTGGATTAACCACAGTATATGACAACACCATCCCCTTCTGAAATACACCAGTGTCTCTTACATTCATTTTTCAGAAGTCCACTTTATATTAGAACATACGTGTTCAGAAGCAAATAGAGTTTCAAACAATAAAGTTCAGAACCATCAGTTCATGTCGTCACACTCAGAACAACAATCACTAGGAAAAATGGGCTTTGCAAACCAGCGACTTCTTCTAACTGAATAAGAGTGATCTTTAAAACAGCAAGATATAATCCACAGAAAATATATCACAAAACGTGGGGAAAAAAACAAATTAATCAGGGTATTTATTCAATTTTTAATCACAAAATGGAACTTGAAGAAATGCGTAACTAACTGAAGACAGAAAAGCCCCTCTGATTTCAACATCTGCTCTGATTTGATACTATTAATTTTGTTCTCGTTTCAACTAATTATCCTGCTTCTCACACATGCGCTCCCTAGAGCAGGGACACAATTAGCATGCTCACGTGAAGGTGGCTTTTACCTTTTAGCTTTTTGTTAAAGACATTAAAAACTCCTGTTGGGGAGGGAAACCATCCACTAGGAACACCCGGGCAGCATGCGCGCTAGCGTACAATAGGATTATTGCTTCAGGTACAGACAGTGCAAATACACACTCCGTGGTCCATCGACAGGACTCCTACCTACCTGGGGTCTGTGGAAAGAAAAGGAACCTTAATAGCTACAGAGAAGCCATTATGGGCTCTATAATGAGTACAGCTAACTCAGTCTAACAGCACTTTAAATCTGAAGACAATTACCACCAAAACTGAAAATACAACGAAAGCGATCTATAAATTAATATTTCTGCAGTGTAGTACTAAATTATTTGTGCACTTTATTAGCATGTTACGTTTCTGATTAGACATACTCAAACACGAGCTCGTTACTCTCCAAAAAACTGAGATCTACTTTTTTTTTTCTTTTTTCTTTTTTTTTTCCTTTTTTTTTCCTTTTTTCTTTTTCTTTTTTTTTTTTTTTTTTTTTTTTTTTTTTTTTTAATAATTTATACTGGGATCTTTCCAAGTCAATCAGGAGGATGGAACTGGTTACAATAACATAAAAACCCTACTCTGAAGCAGCACTGAAAAACAACCCATATGTAATAAAAAGCTTACTATGGCGGTTCTCAAGAGTCCAGGTAAAAACGTGGCACCCTTTGAAGAGGGCTTCATAAAACTGGGAAGTGCTGAGATGCGCACGCACGCACACACACATGCACACACGCACACACGGGTACAGACGCGTGAACACACGTACGCAGGTACACGCACACGCGAACGAAGAGAAGAAGTAACGTTAAGTCAGTTTTGTTTCTGCTTCTGGTAAAGTGCTGAAGACAGAAAGGTTGGTTTGGGTGTGGTGCTATCGAACAGGAAACACATTGTCCATCTAGTCAAATGCCAACCCGCAACGAAAGAAAAAAGAGAAAAGAAAAAAGAACACCCCCCTCCCCCCCCATCGCCCCCTTTTCGATTTACAGGGGCCCGTGTCGAGCTTCGTACTTTGCAAGGACATTCTTGCACTTGCCCAGCTCTTTCCGTAGGTCGGCCACCTCCTGGCGCAGAGCCGAGTTCTCCTTCTCCAGGAAGGAGGCGCGGATGGCGATCTGGTTCTCCTTCAGGCGGCGCGCATCCCGCGATCGCTTTGCAGCCATGTTGTTCTTTCTGCGCCTTGCCCAGTATTTGTCATCCTGCTCATTAAAGACAGAAAGAAGCAAGCAGGGTATTAGATTTCAGTAAACCGAGCAGCCACCAGGATGTGCTCTCAGCCACAGCCGCTGCTCCGGGGATGACTTCACCCGTCCTGCTTGCCCGGCCCAGCCAGCCCTGTGGGTGCCAGGCACTGCTGGGACAACAGTTAGAGATGTACATGGCACAACCCATCCAGGGAGCACAGATGCCCGTGACTCTTTCTGTCAAAATGCTTACACTAACCCCCTCATCCTCTTGACTGTGAAATCCTCCAAGGGAAAAGGAAGCGATATTCCAGCGGTACAATGCATCTCGGCTGACCTAGTTAGCACATCCACCTTCGTGTGCCATGACTCACTCCCCACCGCTGCTGGAGCGGTGCTAATTACCTCTTGTCTGTCCCTGCTCATCTCTGCCAGCCAACACCTGGCTCACTCTGTTCGCTGGTATCATCCATTTCATCTACCGTGCAGCTCTTTCGTGTTCAAAGCTCTTTCTCTGCGGAGCCCCAGAGCATTCCTGTTTTCACCCTAGAATGGCAAGTCACTGGGAGAGGAGTCCTTGGCACTACAACAACAGCTGCTTTGGTACCATCCACAAAGAGATTAGAACAATAAGCTCTGACCATGGGAAAAAACCCCTGGTGCATCAAAGGCTCTGGGTAACTACTTAATTCTACCTGATTTTTTCCACTCTTCCGAAGAAGTGGCCTTCAGTGAAATGGCAGCTTCAATGCTGCTTTGAAACCAAACTAAGTGCTAGAGACTTGGAATAACTCAGTAAATACAAAGTGGGCAGAATCTCCTGTAAGAAGTGAAATTCAGTCGCCTGCGGAGTAAAAGCAGCCGTTCAGCCCTCAAACTGCCTGGTCAATAGAGCTGAAGCATCCCCTCCCAGAGTCATACCTTCATCTTCACATGCTTCCATGTGCGTGTGCGGCTCCTGTCTCACCATGCATGGCAGCACAGCACCATGTCCACGACAAGGCACAGGAGCCAGATGCTCCTACGTTGCACTGAACACACCCCCCACCACTCCTGTGTCTTTCAGCACAAACCAGGCCAGGCCTAATGCTGCTCTGCATCTTCTCCAGCTGCTCACGTAAGGCAAAGCAAGAGCAACACAACTGCTGGAAGTCCTCTAGAACTGCTTTTTATCAGTTTAGCTTAACAAGGTGTGCAGCAGTGGTGGAGACAGTCTATCTCTAAATTGCTCTTCACCTGTGCTTAGATGGGACCCCCAAAAATCCTCTTAGAAACAAGCATGCAGCAAAAAGCTATGACCCAAATCTTACTTATAATTTCCCATCTCATTCCACTCCATAAAAATCAGCTTTAAGCAATTTATTAGTGTGCCACCTAGGCTTCATCCCTCTTTATTTTAACAAATTGCTATGGCAAATCCCTTAATCCAGGCCTGAAAGAGGTAAGGCTGGCATTTCAAAATCACATGCAACCCAGAGACGATTGACTGATCTAATCTGCTTACCCTCCCCCAGAACTCAGCAGCCGCTCCACATGCCAGGGCAGAAGCAGCACTTGGGTCAAGCACTCTGAAATGAGTCAAGGGCAACTGATGGGATTATCTCAGGGAAATGCAAGACCCTGAACTTCGAGTTCAGTCTTAGGGTAAAAACTTATGCATCCCGCTGCTGCAGGCAAGACACTGGTATTTTACACCTCTGGCATGGGGTAGTCCAACAGCATCCTTGGTAAATTTTGCTTTGATGAATAAGGATACCCAGGAGATAGCACAAAATGACACATAGCACTGAGGAGCAAAATCCTGCCTCCTTACAGCCATTTCTGTATCACACACCTCTCTTCAGGCAGTCGCTGCAGCAAATTTGCCCAGGTAGGTAATGGCACGGTGCAGACAGACCATTCTGCACCAAGCTGAAGGTATCACAGACAAAGTGACAGCAACAAACCACCTGAACACTACTGGACTCGTGATTTCTGTGTTTTAACTTGCACAACAGTATCCTTAGGGATAAAAATAGTGAACAGCATCAGCTTCTTTCCCTATCTGGTGTGCACACGTGGCATCCCTGTCTCTTCACACGCGCAGCCAGGGATTCCCACCAACTCCAACAGGCTTCAGTCAGTGTCTTGGGGGGCAGCAGCAAGAGCTGAATGAAATCCTGACTACCTCTGATAAAAAAGATCCTCTTGGGAATCGCATGCTGGGGATAGAATTTTGCAAATAATAACAATTTTCACAGTAGTCTGATAAGCTGAATCAGCTGATCAATGTGTTTTGCTCTCCTCATGCTCTTTACTCTTCACATCTCAGAAGCAGTGAAAGGCATAGACAAAGGTGCTCTTCCTTTTAAAATATTGTAGTATTATTGTTATATTGTATTAAAATACACTTAGCAGCAAAGTAATTTTCTTCTGTTTTCCTACAATTAGTTCAGTTTCTTTCATCTAGGCTAATGGCATTTACTACAGTGTTCCCACTCGTTACTGAGATACAGAGTTACTGGTACAGAGCTAAAGCTACTTCCAAAGAAGACACAATATACTTCATTCTGTTACTGTCACGGACCTCCATGAACCCTCTAAGACACAGATTCTTCCTTGAAGAATTCACCATTTATGCTAAGGAGACACACACAGGCTGGAGGAAAAGGAAACATGATCAAGCTGTTTCATAAGTGGGAAATATGGGACAAAGTAAGCTTGTCCAAGGTCACGCAGGAAGTTTCTGGCATACAAAGGAAATGAATATTGATCTCATGAATTTCGACTGTTGCATAACTAATAAGGGACATCCTCCCCTCAGTCTTATTCAGAACTGCTGACAGTTTTATTCCACAACGAAGTCTGGCAGATCTACCTTACAGGAGAAACTAGATTCATGCTCCAAACCTGCACCTCAGTGAGTAACTGTTACAGAGCACAAACAATCTCGTCACCAGTTCCAATTTACCTTCAGGTCATCTGGAATGAAGACTTTGCGAGCTTTCTTAATCATTGGCTGTGGTTTCAGCTCTTCTTCAGAGAACTTGCGCTTACGAGGGTCAAACATCTCCTGGCCAGGAATACTGGAAAGAGCAAGATCTGCAGGGTCAGGTTCGTAGCCAACAGGAACTTGGATAGTCTCAGGATCAATGGGGCTCGGTGTGTTTCGGTTTGCTGGCAAGATCTGACCTATAGAAAGAAAGGATAAAGTCAGCTATGTTAGCAGGAAATACGTAAATAACATCACTGAACATGGATTTTAGAAGATCTCACAATACTTTACAAGGATTAACTCTTCAAGCTTTACTGTAAATTTGGCATTTACTCTTGCTAAACATTAGATTGCCCATTTTGCATATTCAGATTCAGACATGCCCACACCGCTATGGTCAGAATTGGTTCCCATTTCCGGCTCCTAATCATCTCGGAGGCCCACATAAGATCAGTGAATCCAACACTGATTGCACTAGACATTGCTTCAACTCATGCCACTTCATTAAGATCACATCCTCAGGAACAAATCCTAAGTGCTATCATTTAGCTCCGCTTTAGCCACCATGCTGTAATGCTTCCCAGTTTTCTCATACACAGATTTATTCCTATATGCCTTTGGGGGTACATTTAGTTTACAATGATGTACAGTGCTTGCCATAGGACAGTATCTCATGAAAACGTCCTGTCAAGCTGTGCTGAAGCACTCCTCTGAGGAGACGTCTATTCTCTGTGAAATCCTACCTGTGATATTCTAAATGACAATGAAGAAAACTTGAACATGAAAGGCTGCAATGACTACTTAAAGATGCTCTGCAAAAATGAATACTGATTCATGCCACACTGCTCTTTTATGGTATATAAAATCTAATAAAAAGGAGCCTATCCCCAGAAAATGATATTCCCCCCTCCCAGTTTTTCTTTTTTAATCTTAGCTATAGCCTTCAAGATCCTACAGCACCAATTCAGGCACCATTCCCACTAAAAATCCAATTTAAAATCCCAACCAAAGGTTCCAAAAATAGGATCCTGAAGTCAGCTGCCTAAACAGGGACTATCCCTGGGGGCAGAATCTTCAGAAGTTCTCACATGCCTCAGAAGCACAAGCCTCACAGGCTTCAGAGGGGGGACTTCTGATTGAAGCACGTTATTCTTTTGTAATTTTGGCTATTAGCTAATTCACTTTGCCTTCAGAAATACGGCAGCTTTCATAACAACCACACAAACATCCTGTGACTGCATAATATTTCCTTATTTGTGCCTGTATCTGAAATATTTAGGGTGTAAAATGATCAACATCCCTAATTCCAAGCCAAGGCCAATGTTAACAATGCATTATTTTAATCTAGATGATTGCGGCAACAACACTGGAACTGCACAGAAAATGCACCAGGGGATTGTGCTGCGCAGCACAGGGCTTGCTCAGAGAGAGCTCGGCTTTTGTAACTCCCGTTTTAAAGCAGCGCTGATAACATCAGCTTCCAGGAAAGGCTAGCGAGGGCCTGGGAGAAGAGAAAAGGAGGATCAAAGCTGTTAATGCATCTCTACGGCTGGAGGAAAGGGAGCGGGTTTTCACTAGCGGGCGCTCCGTGTTTAAACGTCTGCAGCGGTGCCGGGGGGGAAACCCTGGCCAGGAACTGCCCTAGCGCCGGCCCGACCGGCTCCGAGCACCAATGCATGGCTGCAGCCCCGCTCCAGAGCGATGGCTAATCTCATTTCGGATACACGGGCTGGCAGAAACAGGCTTATTTAAAGGCTTAAATGCAGGAAAGCTTACTTTGATGTATGTTGGTACCAGAGCAGCCTGGTATTTTTTTTCATGCAGACAAATGTATAGACATATGCCCCACAAATCTTGCAACTTGTGTATAAGAAATAAGAAGGAAGCAAGACACCAGCTCTAAATACTTTTATATGATTTCTGGTGAGCATGCAGGGTGTTTCTAAAAGTCAAGTGGATTGTGAAATCTGTCCCAGCTTTCTAATTGCTCTAAACAAAAGAGCCTGTATTTAAATATTGCCGAAGCTCTAGGTACACAGTATCAGTTTACATATTATCATTAATCTATAATGTGCTGGTATTACACAACCACATGAGCTTTGTAATCATTGGCCTCGAGAAATTTTACAGTATCTCTCTGAAAAAGGGCAAAAATGCTCTTTTTAAACATGGTAAATGGAGGTTTGCACCTTAGCAATGCAGTAGTAAAATAAAGGGAAGAGGGACACATCTCCAAGGTGATCTGGGAGAAGAACCTACAGCAACCAAGATCCTGCCTCACTCCCTGTGTGCACACATGTCACTTCCCCAGGTCTTAGAAGCTCCCACTACTAAAGATCTGGTTGCCTCAGCAAACATAAGACATCCCAGGTGCTGGTGTGAAGCTCGGTCAAGGTGAATGCTATTCACCACTGCAAAGCCTGAACAAATCATGCACACAGCTAAACATTATCACCTGGAGCCCAAAAAATCCTGCCCTATAAGGTATCCCTCACTCACAGGGCACACGCCTCCATCAATCTATGTAGGCTGACTCTGTCCTGTCACAACTCCTGCAGATGAGCAGGAACTCCACTGAGAACAGAGTTACTCAGGGTGTCTAAAACCCCAGGCAGAAAAACCAGTATTTCCTTGTCCAGCGTTTTACATTAGGCAACTCCTGGCAGTTGCTATCTTTTTATTTATTCTACCAAGTTTTGCCAATAACACATGCCAGGAACCTGTCTTCATTAGTTTACTGGCTAATGGCCATTACATCTATGTGGTGCTGGAACTCGTTGTAACCCAAGACGACAGCGTGGGCTGCGCTGGATTTGGCACTGCTGTTAGTGCAGGAGTACAGGACATGGCCTCACGTTACACTGCTCTCCAAGCTCCTTTCCCTCTGTGTGCATGGCACTTTAGCTGTGCATCCTTCTGCCAAATTTGTTCTGGGTGTTATTTTTATGCACTGAATTCCTCGCAATCAGAGGTAGGTCAAATAAGCACAAGCAATCTGAACGTCATGTGCCCAGCAGCCGACTAATCCTCACATCAGCAACCTTCACAGCTGTCACAACATCCAAAGACAGAGCTGGTCAGAGGCTGTGATGTGCAAGGAATCAGCCAAGGAGGAAGCCCACGGCACCAGGCGCCAAGGCCAGTGAGGGTAAAGCACCTCACTGCTCAGCATGGGGAGCCAGATGCCTTTCTTGCCAGTCTCTCTGTTACTTAAACACTCTGCCAAATCTTCACAGTGAAGTGGCTGGACTGTTTAATGTGCTGAGCTTTGTTCTCAATGGGGGCTGAGGATTGCCAAGTGTTTTGGAAAGAACTTAGCCCCTCTATTTAAGTTGCTGAAATGAAAGCTTTTGAGCATTAAGCTCTTCTGGAAATCCAGCTGCAGAACTCCATGGTGGTGGTGGATGCAAGCTGGGAACAATGGTTAATGGAAACTTCCCCTCATACTACCCTAGTGATGTGTCTCAACCATGGCCTGGAGAGACCACAACTATGTCAACATTGGCCTTTTGTCTGGAGACCTTCCCGCCTGTAGAGCTCCACTCAAGTAACACTAAGTATGCCAGGACAGACACAGCTCCAGGTGTCTCCTGGCAAAGGGATCAGCAAGTTTTGGCAACCCCAAAGCTATGGCTGCCTCAACATCTTGCCTTTGCTCATGCTCTTGGTGTTGCTCTGGCAGATATTAGCAATAGCAGAAAAGTTTCCAGAAAGAAGGACCTGAAAGAAAGTTGGCTGTTCTAACCCTTTCAGTCCTCCTCCCAGCAGAGACTGCCAGTGAGGAAACCCAACGTCATGGCAATGTTTTCACTGTGCTTCCTTGTTCAAAGAGAAATGGACTGAGGCCATTCACTTGTGTTATCTAGGTCAGCGAACGGCTGGTGAAAGAAAAAGAATAGCAGCTTTTAATTGCTTGCAATAATTAAAATTCACAATTCAAAAGTACAGTCGCATTTTTACATACCTACAAAAGCAAATTGCTGATCTGGTATTGTGGGGAGCTCACTCACTGTATCCTGACTCCTAATTTCCCCCTTTTGAAACATCCCACCTACCAGCTGTGCCCAGGAGAGTTAAGACGGAAATAACCTCTTCAACTGCAACCACTGCTTGACAGACTTATCTGTACTGCAAGAGATCCCTGCTAAATTATGTGGAACTCAATTTTGCATGAGTCAACTCCCATAAAAATGAGTCTCATTTTCAGAAAATCTCCCTTCTCACAGCCCTTCCACACTTTTCATCAGCTCAACAGCTGGCTGGAGAACAGCGACGAGAGAAAGAAAAGGGAGTGGAAATGTTCTAATCAAAATATTTTCCCCTATTTTTTACGCATGTATTGGAGGGAAAGAAAAGAGGAGCTTCTTATTCAATTTATTAGCAGCCCAGAGATAAAATATGTGTTTGCTAATCATTTTTCTTTATATAAACTAAAGGCACTTTGGGAATGTCAGTCAGACTCTCTAGTGCGGCAGTTAAATTGACAGATAATCCTCACCCAGAGCTGCTCCAGAGAACACCACGGCTCTGCCGATATGTTTTCCAAACTGTCTATCCGCTTGGTGCCTGGCCAGCTATTTGGAATAGTTCTCTTACTCCAAATCACAGCCTGTCCCAGACTAATCTGTCATCTATTTCTGCGTTAACCCCTTCAGCCTCGAGGAGAAGTTCCTCACTGCAGAACACAAGGCAGCCTGCAGGAACAGAGACAGGAAAAAAACTCCACCCACAGTAAAGTGAGTATTCTGGAAGACAAGATTTATCCAAGGACAGCATCTTGTCAGGTTATAATTCCTCACTTACAATATTACAAGCAACATTTTACTTTCCTATCCAATTTCCCTACTATTAGGACTTCAGTGTCTTCCAGAAACCGTAACATTTACACAGATAGTAAGACCATAATCCACACAGGCACTAAAGGGAATGACAAGCTGCACTCTATTGACCTTCCAGCCCTCCCACTGGAAGAACAAAACAAGCCGCTCTCTGCCTAGGGGTGTAGAAGACACTTCACCTCTGGGTGTATTTATGTAAGCAGTTATTAGAGGAGCTTTATTTTCTTCTGAACAAGAGATTAGTGTATTTTGACCAGTGCTCCAACCTGGCACAGACATTCCTCTATTGCTTATCTTACACAAACTTTATTTTGCTGAACATGGGGTGACTGCAAACACTTCCTGCAGAAAGAAGGATC